CCTCAGCGCCCTCTGCAGGCAGCGACCGCCATTGACGCCGAGGTCGGCCAAGACTGGAAGGAGCGAGGCTGAGGACACAGGACTTCTGACACTACCAACAACGGGAGAGACCCCTCTCCTTCAGAGGTCATCTTTAAGGTGCCGAGTAGGGCAGTCTGGCTGAAAGTCCGTTTGTAAGAACCAGATGAAACACAACATTCTAACGTGTCTAAGCTACTAAGGAAGGAGATGAACCCAGTTTAATTATTTGGGACCAGGACAGTGGCGGGAGTAGTCATGTGATGGGGGTTTTGTTTTGTCTCTCTGCCCCCTATATTTTCACCACATCTCAGGGCATATGAGCCAGTGGTGGAGAATGGACGGAGCCATGTGTTGGGCATAAGAAAGACACTGGTGGAGAAAATGCAATGCTGAGCTCTTCCTATACTTCTATATTGCCTGGAGCCTCTAAAAAATTCGTCTGCCTTGACAAAGATACTGCTCTTCAACCAGGAGTCTTACCCTCCAAGAGGGCTGTCAGTGCAGGTCAGTGAGAGCCAGCATGGTAAAACCTTGCATTCTGTCATCACAGATCTTTTTAGAGATATTAATATTTTCACTTTTTCTGCAGAGTATTTATAAAGTGAACCAGAGACTTCAATTTCTGAATGATTTTTCTCATCTAGGTCAGCTACCCTTTGCTATGTATTTTCCAATCCCAGTGTTATCTCGGCTTTGTAGGTTAAATATTTTGCTTTCAGGTAAATTTTCCCTTAAATTTCATATTATTATCAAGGGACATTACTCCTTTTAGAGACCTCCAGTAAAAGAAACCCCTGCAACATTCTCACCACTAGCAGTGGAAGTCATGGTAAAACATAAGGTCACCTAGGGAGAGGATATGGGCGATTGGTGGGGAGAGGTAAGTTGGAATCCTGGGAACCCTGACACCTCAGGACACATGGTAGAGGAGCCGGAAGAGCAGCAAGCCCAGCAGACACAGGAGTCCGAGGAGGACAGGGACCCAGGGGGCAGAGGGAGCAGGTGTACACAGGGTGGCAACCTCAGTGCTGGTGCTCAGAGGCTGGAGACCAGGTGTGAGGCACAAGTGTTGGGGGGGGCAGGGTGGATTCCGGAGGAGTCCTGTCAGACCGAGTCTAGGATTTAGGCATAGAACATATAAAGAAGTTTTATAAAGTCATTTTTGGGGGAAGGAGTTCATTGCTTTGATGTGATGCAAGAAAGAGAACATAGCTTCTGGCACACAGAGAATATAGTTATTTTCTGCAGGAGCTTATCAGGTGCTAACCGGCCTGGGGAATGATGCAAGACCTGTAGAGGGAGCAGGGAATCACTCTAATTTAAGTAAAAGAACCACAGACAGATGAGTTCAATCTTGACTCATTCTTGAGCTTGAGGGCAGTGAAATCTTATAAAAATCTGCATGCCAATACTACACTAGGCTCCTTCAGATTCTAGGTCCCTCCAGTTAATATTTAATTATCCCTTTCCAAATGGCAGGGCAAGGTTGCCAATTAAGAGGCTCTGGAACAGTCATTGCATAGCAATATTGCAATTGAACTAATTTAAAATTAGCACTGACATTGTTAAAGAGAAAGGTGATTGGTGGATATGACAGCTGTGAGCCAAAAGGGGAGAAAAATGTCATAAAACCAACACAAGGCCCATCAGAAACATTGTGGTCCAATCTGGAGTTGTTGGGATACGAAAACAGCAGATTAACCATGTCCAAATGGAGTACTTGACTTGGGGGAAACTGGGCAAAATGTACATAGGACCATGTGTTATTTCTTACAACCACACGTGAACCTACAATTCTCTATATAAATAAGTGATAGACAGAGGTGGGCTGACTTACCATGCATATTGTTTTATAATAAATATTTGTTCAAACTAAAAGAAATACACATTTAGCACACCAATTTGAAATGCCTCTATTACAATAACCTAACTTTCAACATTAATTGAGTCTACTTCTCACCTTCACTCTCTTTGCCATTGGTTAGTCTGTTCATGTCAGTGCAACACAGTTAATTTAAAAAAAAAAAAAAGAGTGGCTGGCTCAGTTCTTAAAAAGAGGCCCAAGAGAAAGAGATGCCAAGATCTGCAAACAAAAGCAGTACTAGCTGCCACTGACGGTCAAGCTACCCCAAAGGCTGGGCTGGCAAGCGAGGCACATTTCTCAGCAACAATCTTACTCCACATTGCTTACATACCACTTAAGATATGATTATTGTCAGCTAGTTCCAAAAAGAAAAGTACATCATTTCCAAAATGAGGGATATCCTACCCACATAACACGGGTATACTTGATGTCACCTTGATGTGAGGGTCTCAGGTCACTGCTCCAGAAGTTCAGGCTGTGTTCACACTTGCTTCATGTAGGGCTAACTTGAAACTAGACTACCAGTCAGGCCAGGAGTGGAAGACTCCATAGCTTAGACCCATTAAGCAACATTCTCATGTAGAGACTTTAAAAAACCCTTTGGAACCATTTCCTTTGCAGTGCCGCCCTGCCCTTGGCAGCCAACCCCCTCCAGCCCCATCGGCACCTGCCTTTCTCCTGCTCATCTGCCTAGTCTAGATCCATTTTGGCTCTGTGCCCTCACCTACTTGAGAAGATAGGAGGGCACAAGGAGCAGACTGTGACTTGCCACAGTCCTAGACATTTTTTCATTGGCAGTCAAAGCAACTCACCAAGACCTACTCCTAACAATTGTACCACTTGCCTCTCATCAGCTCCTCCCATCTTTCCAAACACATAAATTTCATACCATTTCTTTTGTCTTATGTTACATGACTTTTCTCCTGTACTTGCACTTCTCAAATATTCTGTTCTTCCTGCCTTCATGCACGTCTCTCTACTGAGAATGCCCAGACTCCTGTCTAACTCCAGATTCCCTTGTAAGAGGCAGCTCATATTTTACCTCATTTCCGTCATCTCTTCTGGGGCTTTCTAACCCTATGCGCTCACAGCACTTATCTTCTCACCAACTTTGGAGAACAAAGACTGTTTTCCAGTCCCCTCAGAGTTTAAGATCTAGCACAATTTCTACTACACACAAAGCACCTAATAACATGCTGAATGAAAAAATGAAGGGTATTAAATACATCTTGGAACCTGACTGACAATGGTGGGCAATTGATAGAAAGTTAGCTGAAGCCAAATTATAGATAACAATTAGTGGTGATTGAATGCCCACTGTGTGCTAGGCACAGAAATCATTTCATGAACTTTTTAAGAATTGATATGTAACTCACATAACATAAAATTCATGCTTTTGAAGTGTACAATTCAATGTTCTTTTTAGTATTTGGTTTTATAACCATCACCACTAGTTCTAGAACATTTTTATCACCCCAAGAAGTCACTCCTCATCCCCTCCTCTCCTCAGCACTTGGCAACCACTGATCTTGTCTACATGGATCTCTCTGTTGCGACATTTCCTGTATATGGGATTATACGGGATGTGGCCTTTTGGGTCTGGCTTCTTTCACTTAGCATAATGCTTTCAAGGCTCACCCGCATTGTTTTATGTATTAGTAATTTTTTCCTTTTAAGGCTGAATAATATTCCATGGTATGGATATACCACATTTTGTTTACCTATTCACAGTTGATGAACATTTGGGTTGTCTCCACTTTCTTGCTATTTTGAATAATGTAACTATCAGCTGTGTACAAGCTTTTGTGGATGTGTATTTTCACTTATTTTGAGATCTACCTAAGGAGTGGAACTGCTGGTATATGGTCACACTCTATTGAGGAACTTCCAGGCTGTTTTCCTCAGTGGCAGTACCATTTTATGTTCTCACCAGCAATATTTGAGACTCCCATTTTCTCTGCACCCTTAGTATCCCTTACTTTTCTATTACAGCCATCCTAGTGGGTGGGAAGTGGTATCTCATTGTTGATTTCCATTTCCCTAATAATGATGTTGAGCATCTTTTCATGTGTTTATTGGCCATTTGCATATTTTCTTTGGCAAATGTCTATTAAGATCTCTTGGCCATCTCCTGTACTGTCTTTTATCGTTCAATTTTATGAGTTCTTTATATATTCTGGGTACTAGATTTCCTTATTCTTAATCCTTTACCATCACCCTACTGAAGCAGTTAGATCTATGTCTATTTTATAGAGGAATAGTCTGGAGCCTGTAGAGTTTTAGTAAGACACATGACTGAATCTACATCTGTGATTCCCCAAAGCCCATGCTCTTCCCAGTACTCTATACTGCTTCCCGATGACAGAGCAGTTTTAGCTGATGATGAGGTTTAGAAGTGGCTATGCCAGTGGGTGAGTAATACAAAGATGAATATCATCAGAATTGAGGCCAGGGTGCTAGAAACATCATCAGATTGATGAAGTCAATGATGGTAGACCTCACAGTCATTTGCAAAATAAAAAAGTTGGATTATATGATCTCTAAGATTCCTCCTTATTCTGAATTTATATGATTTAACAAGCCTTTCTGTTTTGCCCGGCATCAAAATAGAGTCAAGAAAAACCAGCTCCTTAAGTGTTAGGACAACAGGAAGAACCATCCATTTACAAATGTCCCTCTAAAGCCCTCAGGGAATTTCCATCCTAATTTATTGGTGTAAAGAACCTGATCTGCTATCATAGCTTTTTGAAAAAAGGTAGCATCACCTCCTGGCAGTTCAATCACCACTTTTCTTAACACAAATATGAAAACCTGAGTTCTTTCCTCTGTCCTTGGTGAATCAGAAGGATGCTATAACTAAGCAAGGGCAACTGGCTTCCCAGAGGCTAAGTACACAATTATTTTGCTCTGAAGGCAGAACAATTTGCCTAAGAAAGGATACAGATGGAAAAAACAGTTTGGCACCACCATCGTTTTGTAACACCTGCACTACCTCCAGCACCCAACGATCTCAAGGGACACATCTGTACAGAACCACGAGACCATGGGACAGGTAAGTCAACTGAGTTATTAACAAAGTGTAAACACCATTTTAACAAATTATAGAAAGCTCGAATAGAACATATTAATTATTTTATTGAAAAATAATTAATTTGAAATATATACATTTTTTTAAATCATGTTATTGGTAAAATACTGAACCTTTCATACAAGGATCATTTAAGTTTCACTCACTCTTAACAAAGTAACACTAATTCTACATTATCGTTTTGCTTAAGAGCAGGGTCTTCAGTGCCCTCTGGTGGAACTTCATGAGATTGGGTGTCCAAAAAAATAATTCAGGCGCCACAACTCACAGCTGAAGAAGTTAAACAGCAGAAGTATTCACATTTGGTAAGTTGGGATGTGCTGTCCCTGCCCTCTCCCTAGCAGAAAGGCCGCCTCAGTGGTGCCACCTTCTCCTCTGCCAAGCTCAGCCAAGCTCACAGAGAAAATATTTTCTTCCTAAGTTTTCATCATCATCTTCTTAAAAAGACAAACACCTGTCCTCATAAAGGGAGAAACAATGTGGGAAAGTCTCTAAGTAGTTCGGGTTATAATCCAGGCCAAAAAAACAAAGGTCAATAGGACAGCAAAAATTAAAGATAAAGCTTACCATGCAGGAAGAGCGTTTTTAGTGGTCCCTGATTCTTCATTCTGTCTTTTTAAATAATGTAAATCACATGTTAGCCAATTCTATACCTACAGTTTCTGGGAGATGACCTTTTTCTCAGATTTCAGGAAGCAGACCTATTCCAGACAAGGGCCATTTCTACACATAAACATCAGCAGAGTCTAAGTTCATTCTCCAGACCAAATACTTTGGACTTGATGTTCTTCAGTTCTCCTTGTATCTTACGTGCCCGTCTATTGCTGTCTCGGACCTCACACAGAAGGGCAAGATCCTGGTGTGCCCGGGCATTAAGTGTTGCCTAGGGATTTGAAAAAAAGGAGAAGAAAAGATCATGGCACATGCCAGGGCAGGGGAATCAGTTGTCAGGACCAGGCTACGCTGGCTCCTTGTTATGAGATTTTCAGGACATAGGATAAATCCACTTCTTAGTTTGTTTAGTGACAACTGAAAGAAGATGTAGAGTAGAATTAAAGCAAAAAAGGCTCAAGACTCTGCTTTCCCATACAATACTAAAGGAGTCCTGGGACGGAGATCAATAAATGACTAAAAGAAGAGCCAATATAAACATTATTGATAAATTTGCCAAAGAATGAAAGAAAACATGTCTTCTTTTCTATAATTAACCATGTTTGGAAATAGTAACTAACCATTTAGGATATCTGAAGCACCGGTTAAATCTCTTTAAGAAGGATCTTGAGGCAACTTGGATTCTAAATAAAGCTCTGTCTGAAGGGGAAAAATTACTTTATTACTCAATTACTCACTTTCTCCATTTGCAAAATGGGGAAAGTTCACTTAATCTACTTCTTGAATCGGGAGGGATGAAATTCCTGTTAACTTTCGCTTAAGGAAGTATAACAAGGCAGTCGCTCACTTACTTCAGTCTGCCCTGTATTCCCTTTAGTGTGCACCTGTTACACTGCCCTGAGTGAGGCATGAAGGGTGGTGATTGGTCAATGCCCTCCTCAGAGCAACAGCACGCCTTTCTTCAGAGGAGCCCTCAGGGCCGGTCTCCTCACTTGCACCCTTTCTCTCCCCTTCGGTGATTCAGGATCAGCAATTACCTTATAGAGCATTTGCTCCAAGTCTTTCAGTTTCTGCCGGACAGCCTTAATATCTGTATTAAAGCCCTCTACTTCCAACACACGCCGATTCTCCAAGGCCTCATAGCGTTTTGTCATTATCTGTAAACGCTTCCCCATCTTGTTAGTGCGATCCTAAACACAGGGAAAGGGAAGGGCGGTTATGAAGATGAGGGAAGCATTCCCCGAGCCATCTGCGTGTCCCGCTCCACCAGAAGTGGCAGGGAATTTTGTACCTTGAAGATCTCTCTCCTCACTACCTCTTCCTCACGAATTCGGGCAAGTTCTTCTTCTAAGGAAATGCACTGCTCGTGGTACATGTTGGACAATTTTTTCTCTTGTACTAACTTATCCTTTAGGGACTGCAGGTCAAAGGAAAAGAATACTCAGTTCTACAATTTAGGTAATTCAAATTGCACTTAGGTAAAGAAAGAAAGAAAGGATTTTCAAAAGTACAAAATGAGTTAAGGAACAAGACAGCAAGGAACTTTGGAGAACATTTCAGAACCTATTTCTAGAGGATTCTCTTAGCCTTTTTCTAAGGTGTTCATAGTAGAAAATCTTTGAAACAGATATTTTGGGTTCATGTAGGAATCAGAAAATGGAGCTCAAAACTGTCCCAATAAGACATTACATGTTTTGGGACACACTCCTAAAGTTCTTCCTGAAAAATAAAGAAACAAGCAACATTTATTATACATGTTCCACTGAACAGAATGATCTTTTAAAAACCTAAATTAGATGGCACTTCCTTACACACAATCCTTCAAAGGCATAGCAACATTTAGAGCTGAATAACTGACCCTTGAACATGGCTTTGATTTGTACAGGTCCACTTACTTTTTTCAAAAATATATTGGAAATATCTTTGGACATTGGAGGCAGTTTGAAAAAGTATTTTCTTTATTCTAGCTTACTTTATTGCAAGAATACAGCATATAATACATAAACAAAATACGTGTTAATCAACTATTTGTTATCCGTAAGGCTTCCAGTCAACAGTAGGCCATTTGCAGTTGTTTTGGGGGAGTCAAATGTCATATGTGGATTCTGACTGTGAGGGCAGTTGGTGCTCCTAACCTCATGTTGTTCAAGGTTCAACTTACCAAGAATGTGAAGGCACAAGAAGGCCTCTGGCATTGGCCACTGCCTACCCCTCCAACTTCCTTGTGTACCTTTTCTCCTTGCTTATTCCTCTACAACCACAATAACATCTTTCCTTTTCCTTGAATGGTCTCCTGGAACTTTAAACCTGCTCTTCCCTCTGCCCGGAATGCTCTTCACTGAGGTCTGTATGATAAGCTCAGTCCCCTTTTTCAGGTCTCAGCAAGGACACCAGACCTGAGAGAGCACCTGTGCTTCCCTACGGAGGTAGACTTCCAGAAACGCCATGTAATCTTCACATTATCTTTTTAATTCCTTTTTAATTCCCTACTTTTAATAATCTATTGCTTTCTGGGTTATTTGTAATGTTTCTGTCCTTTCTTACCCGTTAAGATGTAAATGCCATGAAGGCAGACCTGGTCTCGCTGATTTACCGCTATACTCCAAGCCCAACCAGCAGGAGTGCAATAAATACAATGAATCAGTCAGTCAATCAATCAATCGCTTACTTTTCCAAATCCCAAAACACCCTAACAATGATTCTTTGAAACCTATTTCTTGAGGTTGCTGCTCCAACAGCTTCTTGGACTGAATGGATCTTACATGACAATTCTTAAGTTCTCTGGAATTTCCTGACTCCTTTCAACTCTCCCCCCAAAATAAACAATTTCTGTAAGATATAAGAAAACTACCTTAATATATTCATTTTGGTTATGATGACTCTCATGAACAACTGGCCAAACTTTTCCAATTTTATCTTCTTTCTTCTTACACTGCACTCTGTATTGCTTAATCTTTGATATCAAATGATCCTTTTCGAGCATCCATGACTTCTCTTTACTTTGGTTTTCAAATTTGAGTTGCAAAAAATCTTTGGTGCTCTCATAGAGCAGATCCTGGGTATGGTGGAGACTATGAAACCAAGTACAAACATGGACATGAAGATGCTTACGCAGCACATACGACACACAGTCATTCCAAACAACAGGAAGACAGAGGTTCTTTTAAAATTGGGCAATATATAAATTCTGTAAAATATTAGCAGTTTAAAAAATATGCTTCATTTGAGCATTTGCAATCTTACATATTCTACTGGATAAAGTTTAATGTGTCTGCCCATGCTCACTGGCTCACAAGCTGGTCTTTACAGATATTTTCCCAAGTGTCAGTTTCAGGTTACATAATTAAAAGACCTACAGAAATATTTACATAGAGCCTGCACAAATATGGACTATTTCCAGGCACTAGACTTTACCATAAATAACTAAACCATGGTTTCTAAGGGCTAACACAGCTCTAAAATGTCCAAAACACCTTTAGTTTTGCTTATGCTGTGGTCTACTTGTAAACTGCCCAGTATCAGTCTTTACTTTTTTCAATCAACTTCTTCTATGAAGTGAAGTCATCCTGACAATTTTAGCTGATTTAATTTCTCCATTCTCAGAAATTCTGTATCAGTTGAAATATATACTTCTGTATTATAATTCAATACTTGCTAATATACTATGTCATGTTTTAATCATCAACATGTATGTTTTCCAACCTGAATGAAAGCATATAACCATTTATTTCTGTCTGATTACCACCAGACTGCCACGGCCTATACCACCTACTGAACATATACAAGGTACTAAGTAGACTTCTGCTGCATACTGAGATTCAGGAATAAACAAATGATGTTTCTCTTAAAAGAGAATATCCCTAGAAGTTAACAACTTATCAGTTTAACACCCACATCCAGAAAAATACTGTATCCGAGGACCAAACTGCTTATAAAGAATACTAAACAGTGCGAGGCGATCAATGTAGTTTTCCATGAATAAATAATGCCAGATCCACTCAGTTCTTTTCATGAGTAACAGGATGCACAGGGAAAATGACAGCATAAAGCCAGGCACAAAGTAAAGTAACTATCACCAGATGAAAATGCATAGATATGTATTTGTTTATTCAGGTCTATGTGTATGTGCACTAAGGGACAGACTGATTCAGTTACCACAGGATCTCTCTTGCTTTCAATGAGTTATTTTATTCTATCTTACACTTATGTTCTCAGTTACAAGCCAGGGAAGTATGGTCTTGTTAATGCACAAACAGTTTGAAAGTGACACCCAAAGGGCAGCCCTTAAATGGCCTTGGATTTCATGCCATTCAATATCCTTAGGATGATCTGCCTAATGGAAGGAACTGATCACATGTTCAGATATGCAGATGATGAGAAACTAGGATAGTTCCTAATATTCTGTAAGATATATATAAAACTACAAATTACTGTGACAATCTAAAAATATTGTTTTCATAAAAACAGTTAAAATCCAATGAAAAGTGAAGATGTTATGCTTAAGGAAAAAATACCGAAAACATTAATGAAGATGAGGAGGCACTAGCCAGAGGCAAACATATTACGATATGTTAAGAGAAACAGAGCCTGCAAAGGTCAGAAGGCATGCTCTGCCCTTAAATGGTCAGAGATCTTAAAAATATGAGTATCATGTCCAGTTTTAATCACTACACTTTAAAATGGTGGAAGACACTAGAAAAGACAATAGAGGAGACAATAAAAAAGTGATAAAGGGATGAAGAATGTAATGTGAAAAAATATTCTAAAATGTGGGATGTTTAATGCAGAAAAGTGGCAGTAAGATGCAACTTGGTAAGGATCATTAAGTATTCAACAAAGGTTTTGTATGCCTATTGTGCACACAGGGCAGGACAGAGGCTACAGCAAGACCCCGGGGAACAGACATAATTACAATACGTGGTGATAAATGGCACCAGAGAGGCATGCTCATCATTATGGGGATGTGGAGGAGGAAAAACTGAGTTCTGCCCAAGGAAGTCTGAAGATAAGGGGTGACACTGCAAAGCAAGGTGCCTGCCACAGAGCAAGGGTTCCCTAAATAACAGATATTAGTCTAGCTGAAGAACAAGGTGACAGCAACAGAGAAGCTCAGACCGAAAAGGTTAACTTGATGCCAGATGACAATGGTCCTAATAATTCATGCTAAAGTAGCAGGACTTTATTATAAGACAAAAGGTGAGTTAGCAAATGTTTTTAAGCTACTGACAACTCCTAATGTGGGAGCTAACTCATAACAGTGAAGCAGACCATACAACACAAAGGGATCGGTAATGGGAAGAACAGGGAGATTGTTGCAACAATTTCAACAAGAATATTGCTTGAACCAAAATAGTAAGACCAAGAGGGCAGAGAATGGATTTGAGAGGCTCTCAGGCTTACTCTATAGGGTTTGCAATTAGGGAATAAGAGAATGAGGAGTTGAAGATAATCGTGAGGTTTCAATCTTGGGAAACCGATGGATGTCATTTCCCATTTAGTTTAATGATGTCACAGGTCTGTGATGGGGGGTTACTTGTTGAGAAAGACCATTTGGTTTCAGTCAGGGTATATTTGAGGTGTACATGTTCAACTGAAAATGCCTTTACAGCACAGGTCTGGCCTCTGCCATCAGACCAAAGGCTGAGAAGGGTTAGACAGGTAAAGAACCAGGGGCCACAGAAATCAAGGGAAATTAATTTCAAAGAAAGGGTAATCAATGGTGCCAAATCCGCAGAAAGGTCCGAATTACAAGGAGGTCTTCAGAGACACAACTGATCCTAGAAATTAAGAGTCAATGAGAACCTCGGGAAGGGCATGCCTATAACACGGTGGGGATGAAATCAGACTGCAGAAAGGGGAGGAAACAGGCAGGGAAGGAACAAAAACAGTGAGCAGAGAGAGTTTGTGGATTTTTGTACAGGTATGCAAAGTCATATTTTTCCATATTCATGAAGGACTGAATAGAAGGAAAGGCCTTTCTATTCTGGGTCAGATAACATATCAGTGGATAAAAGAATATTTCTTATCTGCTAAGATTAAGCCAAAACAGAAAGGGGTTAAGCAGACTTGCAGCTTACCCAGCAACTCCAAGAAAAGACAACAGTATTCCTGGCAAAGCCCAGACACCCACTGACACAGAGGCAGGGTGTCTGATGAAGACAGTTTTTTCAAGGCCCCTTTCAGTTTCATGATCCTTTGTTGCTAAATTATAGGACAGTTAACTTTCAAGCCATTCAGAAAAATATAAAACTCTGTTAGGTACAGCTTTCTTAAACACTCACTTTTTGGTAAGCTCTTTGATTTTGTCCTGATTTCTCTGGTGGCGAACTTGAATTTCCTCAATGCGAATCCGTCTATCTTCCATGAGCCCTTCAACTTGCTCTCTAGAAAGCTTGGTCTGTTCTTCTAGCTGAGCCTGCAGGGTTTCCACCTAAATAGGCCAAAAGGGGTGAGCCTCCTACTCCTGCTGTACTTCCCCTTACCTCTTATCTCTAAAAGAGAGCCTTTCTCCAGAAAAATTTAAAGAAAAGAAACCTCACAAACAAAAAAAAAACAAAAGCAAATCAGCAAAACAAACAAAAGAAAAATCTTACCTGTACTCCTCCCTAGTAAATAAGGCCAGGCTATACAAGTGAAGACAGTCCACACTAAACTTAGCATCGATACACACAGAAGGCTGGATAATTCAGTTTCTCTACGCTAAGATTCTTGCCTTTTCACTATCTTTTAGATACTATTTGGGCTTTTCGAAATTTTAGAACTGTTTGCCTTTTAAGTTCTGGTTGCATAGAAATAGGATGACTGTTGCATTTTTTAATTATAAAACTCAAGCAAAATAAGCCTAATATAATCTTCTTCTCTGAGTCTGGCTATCATGACTCCAAATGGAGACACTGGTAGAAACTGCCACTTAAATCAATAGACATTCCCCCCTCTATCATAAGGATAGGAACTTGAGTGCAAGTAGATGAAAAATCATGGTTGCAAATGATAAACAGTTACCAAGTGGTGAAAGGTGACTCATTACTTTCCTAGACTTTAGAACACACACTAAATAAATGGATATACTCCCAAAGGTTGATCTGTCAGCACAGATAATTCTCTGTTTATCCCCTAGGCCAACCACAAAGGGAATTCTTACTGTATTATGGTTTTGTTAGGTAGGGCTTAGCATATAAGCTGAAGCAACTGAAGGTTCAGAAAAACACTTCTAGAATGGTTCAATACAGTATAATGTTTTCAAAAATATAAGTTCTCAGAAATTAGGAACAACCTCAATTTTCTCAATCATGAGGTCCAGATATAACACATGTACAAGGAGGTACTTACCATATAATAATGAAGGTATGATACACAAAGCTAAACTCATGTAGGAGACTGTTTTGGTCTGCCAAAATAAATTCTTTACCTGTAGGATGAGTGTTTGTATGTCTCTTTGGTGCTGCTCAGAATTTTCTTCCTTCTTTCTCATTGCTGATTTTCTTTGACTTACTTTAGAATCATCTAAAGAAAAAAACAAAAATTAACAAAGACCTTCCCTTAGCTTTTCTGCTCTTCAAGACTTTTCCTTAGCTTATTCTGCTATTCAGCATTATCTCTACAGAGGTGTTTGGTTTCATTTACTTGTAAGGAAGGAAAGGAAAAGATACTATAACTATAGTGCTTAATTTTTCAAGTAGGAATCTCTATAAGGGAACTCTGCTAGGATATCACCTTCATAATAATAGTCACCTTTCTGAAAAATAAACCACTAAGTTTTCCTTTGGAGCTGTGTCTATTTTCTTTGTAAAACTTTATTTAACCAGAAGGGTAAGGAAAAAGAAAAACTCAATCTAAACATTTTGGTCATGATGTATCATGCAATTTTCAAAAGACAAATTTATTTAAAAAATCACAAGAAAAACATTTTGTAACTAAGTGTGGTAATGGGTATTAGCTAGATTTAATGTGGTGGTCTTTTCATAACCTATACAAATATCGAATCATGTTGTATGCTGGAAACTGATATAATGTTATATGTCAGTTATATCTCAATTAAAAAAAAGACAAAGAAAGAAATTTGGGATTTCCATAAAAAAAAGAGAGAAATTAGACTGAGGTTTTTAGAGAAGCTAATTAATAGTCTGTGATTCCAGAAGTTGTCCAAATCTGTTTTGTGACTTATCACCGAAAACATGTTAATTATATGTCTTTTATTCTACTTCATTAAAACATTATGGAAAGGTTAAAAAAAGAAAAAGAAACTCATTAAGATCTTAGACCTCCATAGGCATCATAAGTACATTCATTATTACTGTATAGTAAGAAATAATTATTTGCACTGTGCTTTTGAATTTTGCATCAATGAGAAATTTGTAATAATATGGTTGGTACCTGCTCTGAAAACTGAAGATTCATTCTGTTCACATACACCAACAGCTTGGATAGTCTTTTGGAGAATGCTGACCTGAAAGAGCAAAAAAAAAAAAGGTATAGAAGTAGTCTTCCTATAGATTTTTTAGCTTTAGTTCCATGGACCAACACTATTCATAAATCAAATTGGTCAAAATTTATATAATCATATAAAGATGTCATGCATGAGAAACCAAAGTAGACAAAGTAACAAACTGAATAAAATGTGATATAAACTAAAAAAATATAACATCAGGGTTACCAGCAATATATACTTTAAAAAAGTAATTGTCTTTAACAGAGGCCATTAGGAAAGTAATAGGAACACAGAAATATGTATATGCACATATGTATAAAGATGCTCATTGAGGCAACATTTACAGAAGTGAGAAAATGGGAAGAGTATACTTACACATAAATATTCCTAATGAATGGAAAAGAGCTTTATCTCTGGGATATAGAATTAAGGAAGACTGCCGCTTTTACATGACAGAGTTATGAAATCTGCATGTTTGTTTTCAATAAAGACCATACATTACTTTTGTGATCAGCATAAAGAAAGATTAACAAAGAAATCTGAGTACTGAAACTTGCTCCCACACGAAGTCTGCTCCCGTCTTCCTCTCTAATCTCTTCCCTCTCTGTGCTTTAGGGTTTCCAAATGTCGAAATGAGGTAAACAATGCTACTTCCCAAAGTTTTTGAAGAAAAAGAATAAAATCATAAAGCTCTTTGTAATTACAGAAAACACTTTGAAAACCTAAACATAGAACTATGATAGCTAATTATTCTTCTATCTTCTTTTACAAGTACCAAAATGCTCTAATTATTTTGTAAATAATAATTTTGCTTCTTATAGAGGGTGTGCTTACCATACTATACCAAAAGATTACTCACTTTGTTGGGCGGCTCCTTATAAAAATAGGTCACTTCCCCAGTGTCTGTTCCCACAAGCGCCAAGAGATTCTGAATCTTTTGCTTGTCTTCTAGCTCCCTGCAGTTCTCAGAGAGTAAACACAGAGTATGTCCAGAGTAAGCAATTTTTTCTGGCTAAAATATCTCCCTTCTGACTTACATGTTTTCAAAACAATGGTAACCTAAGATTAAACCTGAATAGGATTTATCTAGACATTAGCTCTAATTTTTAAAACATCAGGTGTTTATATTCAAGAATTCAGAAAAAAGGGGCCAGAAAATAACTTTTTAGATGGTTCTAGAAGAGAACTGTTGTGGATGCTAGGGTCCCCTGCCCACGTTATTCCCTTCAGGACTGACGGGTTCATCCCCCCAGTATTAACACCACAGAGAGTGTACATGGTAGTGATTTCCCCAGTCCACCCTCAGAGGGCCTATATATAGCCATTTATTCAGGTAATTGCACACTGGGGAAAAGGAAATACCCAGGCACTTCAAGGCCTTCTGGATGCAGGGTCTGAGTTGACACTGACACCTGGTGGTCTGGAGCATTATTATGGCACTGGAGCATATGGGAACCATATAATAAAAGGAATTTTGGTCCCAGTTCAGCTCACCATGGACCCACTGGAGCCTGACCCAATCAGCGATCATTTCCCCAATCTACAAATGTGTAACTGGAATGGACATATTTAGTAGTTGGCAAAACCTCCCAATTGGTTTCTTGGCTTCTGGATTGAGGCAAGTAGAGGCTTCTGAAAATGCCCCTCCTTACCCCAGCCATGATAGTAAATAAAGACCTGAAGGATGCAGGGTGGAGGTCTCCATTAAATCCCCACTTAACTGATAAGTCTGACCTATGCAAGCTGGACAGGTAACACTGCACAACCACCAAATAGTCCAGTTTCACTGGGTCAGATGTAGTGTTTCTGCTGGAGCAGATTAACTTGGTCTTAGGTACATGGTATTGGCTGCTGATTATGCAAATGTTTTCCTCTCCACTCCTAACAGGACCAGAAGCAGTTCCCATTCATGTGGGGTGAACAGCAGTATACTTCAATAATCCTTCCCTAGGCCCACATTAACTCTTCTGCTCTCTATCAAATCAGCCCAGTAGGACCTAGATCTGGGCATTCCACAGATCATATTAGCTCACTATTGATGGTATCATAGTAAATCAGACTGGTCAGACAAGAAATGGCAAGTGCATTAGAAGCCTTGGTAAGATCCCTGTGTTCCTGAGGGTTGGATGTAAACATTATAAAGCACATCAGTGAGGTTTTAGGGGTCCAGGACATTCCCTTCAAAGTAAGGATAAATCATTGCATCTCATACCTACCACAACCAAGAAGGAAGCATAATGACAGAGATACAGACCAATAGAATAGGACAGAAAGACCAGAAATAAGTCCTACACATTTAGTCAAATGACTTTCAACTGTCAATGGAGGAAAAGACAGTCTTTTTAACAAAGGGTGCTGGGAAAACTACATAGCCACATGCAAAAGAATGGAGTTGGACACTTATCTGACACCATATACAAAAATTTACTCAAAATGGGTCAAAGACCTAAATTTTTTTTTTTTTGAGAGGGCATCTCTCATATTTATTGATCAAATGGTTGTTAACAACAATAAAATTCTGTATAGGGGACTCAATGCACCACCATTAATCAACCCCAAGCCTAATTCTCAACAGTCTCCAATCTTCTGAAGCATAACAAACAAGTTCTTACATGGTGAACAAATTCTTACATAGTGAATAAGTTCTTACATGGTGAACAGTACAAGGGCAGTCATCACAAAAACTTTTGCAAAGACCTAAATTTAAGAGCTTCAAACTATGAACTCTTAGAAGAAAACATAGTGATATTGGATTTGGCAATGATTTCTTGAATATGACACCAAAAGCACAAATAATGGAAGGAAAAATATGCAAACTGGATCTTATGAGAATTAAAAACCTTTGTGCATCAAAGGACACTATCCACAGAGTAAAATGGCAACCCTGAGAATAAGAGAAAACATTTTCAAATCACTTATCTAATTAGGGATTAAAATCTGGAATATATTTTTAAAACTCCTAAAATTAAGTAACAAAAAACAAATAGCCCAATTAAAAAATGGGCAAAGGACTTAAACAGGCATTTCTCTAAAGATACACAAATGATCAATAAGCATGTGAAAAAATGTTCGACATCACTAATCTTTAGGGCAATATACATCAAATCAATAAGATACTATTTCACACCCATTGGGATGGCTAATATTAAAAAAATAGAAAACAAGGGCTGATATTCATATGAAGAAACTGAAACTCTGTGCATTGCTGATAGGAATGTAAAATGCAGCCACTGTGAAAAACAATATGGTGGTTCTTCAAAAAAATTAAACATAGAATTAGCATATGACCCAGCAATTCCACTTCTGGATATACACACAAAATTGAAAGCAGGGACTCAAACAGGTATTTATTCACCAATGTTCACAGCAGTGCTATTCACAATAGCTAGAAGGTGGATACAATTCAATGTCCATTGACAGACAAAGGGATAAACAATAGTAGTATGTCCATATAATGGAATATTACTTGCCCTTAAAAAGGAACGAAATTCTGATACATGCTACAACATGGATGAACCTTAAAACTATTATGCTAAGTGAAATAGCTCACACACAAAAGGACAATACTGCATAATTCCACTTGTATGAGGTTCCCAGAATAGGCAAATTCATAGAAAGTAGAATTGTAGTTGTCAGAGGCTAGAGGAGGGGGAACGGGGAGTTATCATTTAATGGGTACACAGTTGCTATACGGGATGATGAAAAAGTTCTGGAGATGAATGGTGGTGATGACTGCACAATAATGTGAATGTACTTAATGCCAATGAACAATACACTTAAAAATGATTACAGTGGTAAATTTCATGTTACACATGTTTTACCACAATTGAAAAGGAAGAAAGTGTAATGCAGCGGATGCTGTGGAATGCTGCCCAGATGCTGCCTTCAGGACCAAGACACCCATCCTCCAGGAGCAGAGCCCTCCAAGACCTGCCCTTTGGCTGAAGGGGCTGCCTCTCCCAAGTTTACACCCCAGCCCTGGTGGCAGCTGACATCAAATGACTGGTCACTGTGGGGGGCACCAAAGTCCAACTCCTTTGCTTCTGAAAGGCTGTCCTAGCCTCCAAGCCCGCTGTGGACTCAAGTTGGCTAAAGCCTCTGTTACCACTGAACGACAGTGCAAAATCTCCCTCTGCCCAAATCTGCTCTTCAATGTTATTCCTGAGAGCCTCCACACTAACCAGCCTGCAGGCAAACCTCCATCTCAGAGTCTGCTTTCTGGGGAATACAATTTAAGAGAATGACCAGAGGAAATTTATCTTGTTTAGTGCAATTAAGAAATGTAACCCTTCTACTTGGTACCTGATCCTCAGTCGGTCATTTTCCGAGTAGAGGCGTAGAACGTGTTCCCGTTCCTGGAAGAGGCAGACCTGCATATCGCTTAGTGCATTCTGCAATTCAGCAACCTCTTCCTCCCTCTGCTGCAAATCTCTTTCTAATTTATGCTGGAAAAAAGAGCAAGTTGAATATCTCTTAAAGTGAATGGCTTCACCAATACAGAATTCAAATGACCTGAGTTTTAAAACTATAGGTTAATGTGATGTTTGCATATAACGTCAAAGCTCTCCTATCTTCCTTTTCCAGACTATACAATCCAGAATGCCACATGACTCAACTGTTCTATTCAACTACATTTTTTTTTTTTTTACAAGCGAAAGCATGCAGTCCCCCACTACCAGAAATGATGCAGCCAAGTTTCCCACATTTGGGGAAATAGCAGGGGTCAGCAGTTGATAAGCCTCGCCCTGGGAAAAGCACCTTCGTGATCATGGCATTTCCCCTGCCAGGTAAGTATTATTCAGCTTTTTTTTTTTAATACTTTCTATGTATAAGCATTATGAAATTTTGAAAAATAAACATGAAAAGGTATGATTCCTGCCTGCAGAGCTGAGGAATTCTGTGGGGAGACAGACATGTAAACAATTCAGATAAAATAATTATTTAATGGAGGAGCATGCATGTAAAATAGTAAAGGGGGGGGTACAGCAGGAGTAAGATTCCTGAAGCCTTTTTGGGATGGTGAAAAAGATCTGAAGCCTTTTTTGGGACATTTAAAACGTTGAAGATTGCTAGGGACAAGCAGAGGGTAGGCACTCTCAGGAAAGAGGTAAACAAGAGAACCATCAAAGAGCTACGCATGTCTGGGCAACTGCAAGTGAGAGGCTGACTGGAGCTGTGTGAACTGGAGGCCGGATGCTGGTGAGGAGTTTGAACCAGGGTTGCAACAGGAGTGAGGAGGCTGTTGGAATGGATCAGGCAATATTCAGGAAGGAGAATCAATAGGATTCACCTAGAATTGGATGGAGGGACTGGGCAGAATGTAGGCAATGATACCATTTACTAAGACAGTGAAGAAGGAAGAAGTTGAGAGATAAGGAATGGAGGGAGGGGAGATGGTAGTGCTATGTGTGTATGTACAGGTAGGGTAGAAAGAGGAAGATCAGATCAGATGTGGGCACATTAGCATGGAGCTCAGAGGAGAGAGTCAGCATTAGTTATTAGATGTCATCATCCCGTATGCAGTAGGATAACGCATGGATAAAATGAGGTCCTTTATGGTGGCTCTGGAAAAACTGCTGACATAGAAGACTAAGGAAGGGGAACTGTTAATGGAGACAGAAGAACTGGTCAGAGAGTGAGACAGAAACTGGAAAAGAAAACCACACAGAAACCAAGAAGGAAGAGTTTTCAGAAAGGAGAGAGGTCAGTAGCAACCAACACCACAAAGGTCACTGAGAGGAGAGATGATTTGACAAATAGAACTGCAGAGCACAGGAGGAGCAGTTTTAGTGCAGCAACGAGGACAGAGACCAAACTGGAGGCAAGAAGTCCCTGAGTGCGCAACAAAGTCTAGGAGTGTGACTGAGAAAGTGAAATGCTGTCTACTTGAGAATAGCTAGAGGGGGAGCACAACTGAAGAGGATGTTTTTCTTTTAAGCTGGGAAAGACTTAAGTGTGTTTATATACTGAGGAGTAAAAAGCCAACATCAAGCAAGAGGTTAAAATAGAAAACAAGGTGAAGAAAGATGATGATGCAGGGTTTCTTAGGAGGAAAAAGAGGTGGGGGCCATGGAGAATGCTGGATCAATTCAGCCTGGACAGGCAGAGACATCTTGATCCTGAAGCAGTAAGAAGAGAGATGGACACGGACGTAGGTAACTGTGTGCCAGTGGGCAGGAAGGGAGTCCCTGCACACTAGCTGGTATTTCCTCTGTGCACTAGGAAGCAAGATTGCCTGGTGAGAGAGGAGGGCTAAGAAGGGGTTGCAGGCTGGAGAGTAGGGAAGGTGTGGCACAGAGGCAGAGAGAGAGGCAACCAACTATGGGTAGATGAGAAAACAGCTGTGTAGTGACTGAAATACAGAAGTATTTGTTTACCATGTAATGACTTGGGACCTTTCTAGGAACAGTGGCTCTCAACTGCAGAGATTCTGCCTTTGCCCCAGGAGAAATCTGGCAATGTCTGCAGGCATGTTTGATGTTACAACTGAGGGTGGGGTGGGAGGCAAGGGAGGTATGCTACTGGGATCTAGTGAATAGAGCCCAAGGATGCCGCTAAATGTCCAACAATATACAGTAAAGAATTACCAGGCCCCAAAGGTCAACAATGCCAAGGTTGAGGAGTCCTGCTCCAGAACAGGGGAGAGAATTGATTAAATCCTAACTAGGGTTTTTGCCATGCAAATGGAGCATAAGAATAAGTGGGGGGGGTCACATGCACTTACTACTGCAGCGAAGCCTGATGGGCTTCAGGTTAGAAGGAAAGGACAGGATGTCGGAGGTGGATATGCTTAGAAAGCTGAAAAATCAAGGAGCTACGTAACAGTGAAGCTAAATGATAGGTTTAAGGAGTGGAAGAACTACAAGTATGAAAGACCACGAAGTAAGAGTTTTAAGACTTTAGAGGTGGAGCAGTTTGCATGGTAGAGGCAGTTAGGACTCAATCAAGGACCCACAAGTGGGTATGAACCTAGGCTGGGGAGGAAGGAAATTTTAAAAAAAATACTGTTTATAAATTATCTGCTTGTGATACAAGCTGGCACTTCTTGATCTTCTCTCAGAGATGATGAAAAGCCTTAATCAGAACCTAAAAGTACCTACAACACTTGTTTTTTTCTTCCTTCTGTAAAGCAACTTTACTCTTCCCTCTGTGATCATTATTATTCCATCGCTCCTGCATAGGTCAATTCAGTTTCACATTTAAGAATACCTCAATCTGATCTGTGCTCCTAGAAATTAAATTTCATTTTTCAATATCAATACAATGAAGTAACATTCTAGCAGCTGGGATGTGGAGGGCAACACAGTTCACTCTCCACCTTGTAAATGGACAGGCTTGGAGCCAATGCTCAGTGAGACACCCGAGATACTGCTGTAAGTCGCCGTGCTCAGCAGTCTGTCTATCTAACCTAGCATCCCGAATCAAGGCCTTAAATGCAAAATAATTATTTGCCTCTCTTTATCCTGGCAGAAATAAACACTGAATAAAAATAGGCATCTCTTCTTAGGCTGGTGCTTTACTTGATCCAGAATTAATACTTCCTCTCATTTTTTAAGTGAGTATTCAAACCCAGGCCTTTCGATCCATGAGTGGTATGTTTGCAATGAACCACAGCTGTTCTTAAGTTTCCTTGATAATGACTTATTCATAAGTTTGACTTTGGGAGGTCTGTGGGACCAATTCCTTTCTTGCCACCACTCTTTGGTCTGAGCCAAGGACCAAACACCTCACCCACTGCGGCCCTCCAGCCACAGTCTGGCTCCAGCAGCAGAGGAAGGCTGTTTCTCAGCTGACACTGGGGCAAAGGCATAGGGCCCTCAGTGACTCCAGACCCCATTCCAAGGAGCATGAGCCCACCCGTGCCTCCGGGCCCATGCTTTCATCCCAGCAGGAGTTGTTAAGATTCCTGCATCATCTCTTCTTTACCTGTTCCTCAAAGGCTTCTTTGTATAATTCTAGTTTCTTCAATAGGTCCTCATTTTCTACCTCACACTCAGCTATCTTCTTCTGATAATATTCCAGAAGCTCCTGAGAAGGGCAGAGGATAGCCAGATGATCTTTGATGGAAGGCAAGGGAGTTGACTCCACTGAATCTGGGAAAGACACTCCCTTCCACCTGGTGGAACCACTGAAGCCACAGGCAGCACCATGTTTGGGAACAGTGGTCAGCCTATATGAAATTAGGTAAGACATACATTAACTCTGAACATTTATGAAACACTAATTTCTTTAATAAAAAACAGGTTTATGTTCATAAAGTGCTTACAATTAACCTTGAAAATGATGCCACAAGTTAGGGTATAATATTATGAATGGTTTTCCAATTACTAAATGCTTAAAACTGGATTCAAAATACCTGTTAGACAGCATTAGACTCAGACACTGAGAAGTGACTAGTGGTTAACAAGGAGAAGAAGAGTAGGGTGGGGGGGACTGTTGAACCACTGTGATGTACATTTGATAAAATTAAAAAATAGAGAATCCAAAAAAAGATGGTGGTGTGAGAAGACAGAGAGAAACCTCCTCCCCAAATTACATAAAACACAAAAATATAGCAAACATAACTAATCCTGAAAAGCCAACCTGAAGACTGCAGAACAGACTGCCCACATCTGGGGAAAAGAGAAGACCTCACAGAAAAGGGAAAAGTAGCAAAGCCACAATCCAGTGGGACCAAGCCCTCTCTCCCCACCCACAGGCAGGAGGAAGAGAAATGGAGCAGGGAGGGAGTAGAAGCCCGGGAGTGCTTAACACCCAGCCCTGGAGATCTACTCCAGGAACACAAACCCACGTTACATGGTACTCTGGAGATCAGAGGTGTTGGAAAGCAAAGACAGGCAAAAAAACACTAAAAGATTTAGATTTGAGCAACTTGTGAAGAACAGGTATGCACAACCAGCACCCTTGGAACAAAAGAAAGGTGGGCACTTTGAAAGACTTCCCAGCAGGGCAGGGGGTGCTAAAGGGGCAAGGATTACACAGAAATCACAGTTCAGGAGAAAGGACAAGTGGACAAAATTGTCCCGGCACGCTCAGCCTAGCAGGTTGGGAACTCTCAGGAGCTTCAGACGCTCCACCTCCATGGCTGGCAGTGCACCACAAGAACCTCCACCCACCCCATTCCACTGTAATATACAGCCTGCTGCTCCTTCTCCCTCCCACAGGCATTGATCAACACACCTGCTGAGCCACCTCACAACAGCTAAAGAGGCTCCTTCCTTCATTTGGCCCACTGGAACTGGCAGTGGAGGCAGGCAGTGCAGCCAAGAAGGCAGGAAACCCTCCCAACCAAGCTCCTTCCTCCCAGCAGGTGCCTCTTCCGCTCACCTGTGACCCCTATCACTGCTGCAGGTGTACAGCAGCTCCAGAGAGTAGAGCTTCTGGGCACTAGAGAGCACTGCCTACACAAAGTTTTTATTCTATAGGAAACATTAAAATTGAAGTGGCAAAGGAATTTGGTTCAAAACAAAATTATAAGAAAAAAACACCAGAAACAGGGCTTAGTGAAACTGAAATCAACAAACTTCGTGATAAAGATATCAAAATAAAATCATAAACATACTCATAGAGCTACAGAAAAATATTCAAGATCTCAGGGGCAACTTCAAGAAAGAGACAGAAACTTTGAAAAATAAAGTATCCAAAATGAAACATACAATGGAGGGATTTAAAAGTAGATTAGATCAAGATAGCAGCGTGAGTAGGGCAGCGGAAATCTCCTCCCAAAACCATATATATTTTTGAAAATAGAACAAATACAACTATTCTTTAAAAAGAGACCAGAAGATTCAGGACAACAGCCAGGCTACATCTACATCTGCGAGAACTCAGCGCCTCACGAAGGGGGTAAGATACAAGCTGCGGCCTGGCGGGACCCAAGCACCACCCCTACCCCAGCTTCTTGCGGGAGGAGAGGAGTCGGAGCGGGAAGGGAGGGGGAGCCCAGGACTGCTAAATACCCAGCCCTAGCCATCCACACTGGAGCGCAGACACACAGTGCGTGGGGCGCTGGATATTAGGGAAATGGAACAGTAAAATCTGCGAGCTGGTTCCCACAGCCGGCGCCCCTGGGACAAAAGAAAAGCGAGTGCTTTTTGAAAGTCTTAAAGGGACAGGAGCCTCACAGCTGGATGAAGTATCCCGGCACACTCAGCCTAGCAGCTGGGAATCCCAGGGAACTCCAGGTGCCCTAACGCCCTGGGCGGCAGCACAGCTCTGAGGCCTCTCATGGTGATAAACAGCCTCCCACCTGTTCCCCCTCCGGTGCAGCCCCACAATTGCGGAGCAGCAGCCTGAGACCAGCCACGCCCACAGCAGCCATGCAGAGCTTCCTACACAGCGGCCGGGCAAGAATCAGAGACCCAGTCTGAGCGCAGCTGCCCAAGACAGGCCGCGAGGGGTCGCCATTCTCAGAGAAGAGGAAGGCAAGGAGCAAGCGGGAAGGGATTCTGTTCTCCCAGCTGACACATGCACCAACTGCCCACGACAACCTCTTTCGCCATGAAAAGGCAGAAGAATTTGATCCAGATCAGAATCACACAGACATCCTCCCCTGAGAGGGAACCTGGGAAGACAGACTTACACAATCTTCCTGAAAAAGAATTCAAATAAAGGCCCTAACCACGCTGATGGACTTCCAGAGAAATATGCAAGATCTAAGGAGGGAGAATACAGAAATAAAACAATCTCTGGAAGGACTTTAAAGCAGAATGGGTGAGGTGCAAGAGGCCATTAATGGAACAGAAATCAGAGAACAGGAATACAGAGAAGCTTATGCAGAGAAAGAGATAAAAGGATCTCCAGGAATTAAAGAATATTAAGAGAACTGTGTGACCAATCCAAATGGAAAAATATTTGCATCAGAGGTGTACGAGAAGAAGAAAAGAGAAAAAGGAATAGAAAGTGTCTTTGAAGAAATAATTGCCGAAGACTTCCCCAAACTGGTGGAGGAAATAGTTGCTCAAACCACAGAAGCACACAGAACTCCCAACACAAGGGACCCAAAGAGGACAACACCAAGACACATAATAATTAAAATGGCAAAGATTAAGGACAAGGACAGAGTATTAAAGGCAGCCAGAAAGAGAAAAACGGTCACCTACAAAGGAAAACTCATCAGGCTATCATCAGACTTCTCAACAGAAACCTTACAGGCCAGAAGAGAATGGCATGATATATTTAATGCAATGAAACAGAAGGGCCTTGAACCAAGAATACTGTATCCAGCATGATTATCATTTAAATATGAAGGGGGGATTAAACAATTCCAAGACAAGCAAAAATTGAGGGAATTTACCTCCCACAAACCACCCCTACAGGGTATTTGAAAGGGACTGCTCTGATGGAAGCACTCCTAAGGGGCCAAACAGATGTCACCAGAAAAAACAAACTTACAACAAAGAAAGCAGAACAATCAAATACTAACTAAAGGCAAAAAATAAAATCAACTACCCACAAAAGCAGTCAAAGGAAACACAAAAGAGCATAAAATAAAACACCTAACATATAAAGAATGGAGGAGGAGGAATAAGAAGGGAGAGAAATAAAGAATCATCAGACTGCGTTTATAATAGCTCAATAAGCGAGTTAAGTTAGACAGTAAGATAATAAAGAAGCTAACCTTGAACCTTTAGTAACCACAAACCTAAAGCCTGCAATGGCAATAAGTACATATCTTTCAATAATCACCCTAAATGTAAATGGACTGAATGCACCAATCATAAGACACAGAGTAATAGAATGGATAAAAAA